TATATACTGCCGGTGTTGCAAATGAAGTTATTGGGACGAAAATACACTTCCTGGGTATCAGGATATGAATGAGCTGACACAGATTTATCGGACGCACATGCTTGACCAGTGGCAAAAACCGCGAAACCGGTCGTGTGCTTCCAAGGGAATTTTGTCGAGTCATTCATATACTGCTTACTACGGAATATATTTGCCCAGGCCACGAGCACATATAGTGACCGATTTTGAAGGGTTTACACATTTCGTGAACTCTCCTTAACGTCCGTCCCACGTAAGATGTCGATTGACGCGTCGGACTATGTGGGGAACGAGCCAATTAAAACTCAACCGATTTTTCGGTTGATTAGAAAGTGGATGGGTAGGGGTTAGGGTTTTGTCGATCGAAAAACAACGGAACATTGTGAGTCAAGTATTCGCCACACATCCGGGTCGCTTGTGTGTAGTGCTTATTATCGCTTCACTAAATCCGAACCATTGTGGCTTGTGATTACGCAATATGACTTTGGGCTATCGGATCAGTTCGATCTGGTGGCCTGTTGCTATGATATGTCGGTGATGTCTGCGGGAGGAGTGGGGGAGTGGTAAATTTCTTGGGGTCAATCACCCCTTGGCTGCATTGTTGGGCTAGGTCTCGATCCGTTTTGCTGGCTTGGCCTCTCGTTAACTGTATGCAGATCTTGAGCCTAGTTTGAATTATGATGCACTCGGTAACCAACTGTCTCTCTTCTGTGGACTCGAAATATTAAGGCTTTTTTCTGACGTTCGAATAATTTTTAATATGGTGTTTCTCCACGAAATTCTGCGGATTACCGTTTCCCAGTAACGTTTGCTTGGCGGCTCTATTTTACCTTTTGTATTTGGTCCGTTTTCGAGAAGAAGACGACTCTACAAGCCCCTGGTGGTTTCTTGTTGAGCGATTTAGGTACCCACATTCTGGGTCTTGCTGACTTTTTTGAGCGGTGAATTGGGCCAACACGGTTGGATAAAATGGGACTTGAAATAGAAAATTTTCAACTGGGTTGTTTGATCGAAAAATCGGAAATATTTATTTACAAATTGTTTTGTTTTCTGTGACCGGCACGAATTGGGCCCCTGGGGTTTGCGGTTCCAAACTAACCGCGACCGCTGGCGCCGCCACCACCACCCAACTTTAGCAGCAGCTTCACTGTCGTCAGACTCCTACCACGCCTAAGCTAGGGAGGAGGTCTGATGTGTTGTGCCAGTCCAGGGCTTGGAACTTAGCTTGCCGGTTCCATTGAGTGAACAGTGAATCCTCGTGACTGTGGATTTCATTGCACATCAGTTTGTAAAATAAGAAATGCAAATATGATTATCCTGCACTACAGTTTATGTTCACTTTCGTGATCTTTTCTCATCCCATCTGTGTTGCATCAGAGAAAGCGGCTTGGTGATTGTTTCCCCGGAGGAGCGTCGGGCTATCCGATTTCATGTGTCCGAACTCGTGCATCGAATCTTGAGGCAATTGATATTCAAATTTCGTAAACACCCAACTTCATACACCGCCAGGGCAATGCCTTCGATGTCCAAGGACAAGCGTGGATCACGTCGAGTTCGGGTCTCAGAAAATCGCGGTTTGTCCAGCAAATCACAACCGATCCCCATACCAACTGCTCGGGTCCCTCTGTCTCGGTTAAATGGAAATCGCGGATCTACCGCGGAGGGGATTAGACCCAATCGGGAAAATCTAGGCACAACTGTGCCTGATCAGAATACAAACGGAAATACTGTCAATCCGGAGGGGAATGCATCGAATCGGCGAAACTCTTCAGCATCTAAAACGCAGTCAGAATATCTACTCATTTGTCCGGAGTTTCCTGAACGCTGTGAGCCATAATGCACCCGATGAGTTAACCTATTCTCGTAATTTCCAGAATTCACAATCTTTCAATAATCCATTATCGGTTTGCTTGCAATTACCGGACAGCAGCCACGTTTTCCTCTCTGGAATAATCTCAATGGGGTTCTGTGGCCCGCTCGACTGAGTGGATATATTTTCAAAAACATGATAGGAAATATTTCCATTGAAAAATGTTTCTTACCTGCAATCGAATAGGACAGCTTTGTATGTTCACAGCACTCCGCCACTGTGCGATGCCTATTGCATGCACTAGACTGTTGTAGTACTCCGTGTCGGTGGTCCAGTCTTGACTTCTGTCCAATCTAAGGCTCCTTCCGTGATGATGCTTCATTCCACACTTTTCTATCATTACTTTTATATATTATATATTTTCACCTACGTCTGAGTCCAAATCTTGTGCCGAACAAATCACAGTATAATGATCTTTATAAAAAAATGAATAAGTTACATTATTCTTTGTGGGCGCGATACTGCCTAGTTGCCCAAGCTAAGGCAGGTGCATTTCTTTTGGGCATTCACAACCAGAGCCTTCAGCTAGCCACCGCTTGACTCGCAAGATATCGGGGTGGTTTGTGAAAACCGCAGTCCAGTTGATCGTGTCCTACACCCTTTGGACGGGGTCAAACGTGCAAGGTGCCCAATACACCTCGATACCCAGTCGAGCCAGTGACCACTATCACAATCAGGTGTGTGTTTGTGGTTCGTACACCTCTTAGTGTTTGGTTTGGGATCAGGGTTTTTAGCCAACTCACTTAGATGAACTGCCAGTTGTTGACCGACCTGGTTTTAGCCCCAGATGTCAGCTTATCGTCCTCTACCTCTGATGGGAAAACACCCCGTTACGCGAAGGCAGTGGGTAGGGCTTCTTTAGGAGCGGCTGTTTGTGACGCTTTCAGAGCCTTTCGTATCTTTACTGATGGTGTGTCTGATCTCAGGAGCTGGCTCATGCGGTTCCCAACCTACCTAGAGCCGGCAAGCCATCCTCATCCCAAGGGGGTGTACCGAAGCGTCGCACTGTTGGTTTTGGTTTATCCTGTTCTTTCTGCAAATTCATACTGGGGAAATCACTTTCCCTGTTTTCATTTATCCTTTTCTTGAAGTATATGTATGTATATATACGTATATACTCTAAAACTCCTGGGATATGCGTCAGATAAGAACGGTTGAAAGACTTGACTTCTTTCTCTTGTTCTTAGCTCCGGTGTGCTGCAATGTGTTCGCTCGGCGGCATAGAGTTCCCACACAACTTTTCAGTCCGCACAATGGATGGTTGCAGTTGTAATTGAGGATGCGATCTGTCGTGGTCGGTTTTCCGTTATTATTCCGTCAGGTTGCCATGTGAGAAGGATATCGAGTAAGGAGAGTTGTCCATCTTTCTCCTCCTCTCGTGTGACGTTGATCCCAGGCACCTGCTTATTGATCATTTAGTGGAACTGATCTACCGTAAAAGCTCTGGGTATGACGAATGTGTCGTCCACATGCCGTATCCACAGACGAGGTTCTAGAATTTCAAAAGCTTTAGCTTCGAAGTGCTTCATAACGGCATTCGCAAGTAGGCCTGACAGTGACGAGCCCGTGGAACTGGAAGTAGATTTCCAAACAGAATTAGACGAACTTCATTAGTCCGTCCACGGATAGTGTCGTTTTTAATTGCAAATGTTGGTCGTTTTGCAAGAGGCGTTGAATACTTTTGATAGCCATTTGTTTCCGTATGATGGTAAATAGTGAGGTTACTTCGAAGGAGACCGTCACTTCGTCTGGTTCGATCGTCAGTCCTTTGATGCCACTGGACCTTTTGCATCATTTTCGTTCGCAGTTAAGGGCGGAAGTAACAGTAACAACAGATTGTTGTTGGGTGCTTTTGTGGATGCGACAATGGGTCGTAATGATATATGGAGTTTGTACAGCGATGTCGGACCTATTGAAGGTTTGACTCGTCTATATTCTTCATCTGCTTATTTCTTGCTTTTCTTGTGAGTGGAAAAGCATTTGGTTAGTTAATTCCTCAGCTTTTTCACGGGATTCCTGTTGACTGGTCAATAAGCTCTTTGTCTTCGATGAGTTGTTTAATCTTTTCTTTGTATTCTATTTTCTTCTTGCATTGCGATTGCATTGTTTTTATCTGCCGGAAGAATGACAATATAGGAATTCTTCCTGAGCGACTTTACTGTTGTCTTTTCTTCATCAGGGATCAACTATGACTGTTTAAGTGGATCGAGTTGTTGGCATTTTTGATCCTAATATCTTCTCCTTTTTCTTCTGGTAACGAGCAATTTCTTAGTCCATTCTCCACAGATGCGATAAAGTCGGTCTGTTTGGCATTGGACTGATTAAATTTCAGACCTTTCATGAGAATTACTATTTCTGATATATATATATATATATATATATATATATATTTCAAGAGAGAATGGAGGCGTACACTGAGTTGTAAAATGTTTATTGTGACGTTTCGATCCAAACTAGGACTCGTTGTCAAACGTAAATGAAATGAGTGAAATAATGGGATTACTGTCTTTCCGTGCGCCTGTGTGCTGTTTGTACGTCTATCAGTCCACCAATTATCACGGGTTTTGCGAG